CTTGAAAACGTGTTTCATTTCAATTTCAAGCGTTTCAGTGCACTAGAAAGAGTGTGCTTTGAATTGTGAGCACAAAGTAGAGGTTGACGAATAAAAAAGTAATGAAAAAGGGTTTAAAAAGTATGGAGGAAGGTTTTAAAAGTGATGAAAAAGACATAAAAATCCTGAAAGGGTAGCTGTTTTTTTTGAAAAACGAAAAAAAAGCCGCATTTCCACTGAAATCATTACATTTTTTAGCTAATTTTAAAAACTTTGAGAAAATTGGCAGTTTCTTTGCGGAAAGTTGACGCTGGAAATCACTAGTTTTGAGTTTATAATTACAATTTCTATTAGAAAAGCACAAAAAAAATCCCGATTAATACAATTTCTCGAAAGAAATTTTATATATACAGGGTGGCTGATAATTACGTGCGCCAAAGAAAACGCCATAATTTAATTTTCTTTCAAAGAAAATGTAAAAATCTTTATTTATATAATAGTTGTAACAAAAGCATTTAATAATCACAAGAAATTTTTGAAGTGGCCTCCATCCGCATCGGCTTCAATTTGCTTCTTTACAGAATCGACGGTGCGGCGGAGATAATTTGCATCTAAGTCGTTCCAGATTTTGATCAATTCTCGACGTAAATCATTCAAATTGGTGATTTTTCTATTTCTCAATTGTTCTTCCATAAAACCCCAAACCGAAAAGTCCAACGGATTGAGATCCGGGCTGTTTGCAGGCCATTGATCCTTCGTCAAAAAAGAGCCAATTTTGGTTTCGAGAAAGCGAATTGTTGTTTTGGCTCCGTGGGCCGGCGCCCAATCTTGTTGAAGGGTCAAATTGGGATGGCTCCTCTTCCATGGCACGACAGCTTTCTCGAGAATCTCTTTTGATAGACTTTTGCGTTAATCTTCACATTTTTATCGATAAAAACCAACGGGGTCTTGCCCGAAGCACTGATGCCACCCCAAACCATCAAACTTTTTGGAAACAGACCTTTTGTAGCGACTTTTCGTTTACGAGTGCTCTTGAGAGCTGGACTGAGAAGTTGAAGGTGATTTTGTGAGTTTTTAGCCACTTCCAAGGTGAAAATCTTCTCATCTGACCAAAGAACATCGTCAATGCGCCGCACCTTGGAAAAAGCTCGCAATTTCTTGCATTTCTCCTTCCGGTTTTGCTTGGCTTGATCGGTGAGCACTTGCCCGTTTAACAGTCGATAACTTCGAAGTCCGAGCTCATTTTTCACTATCGATTGAACCGAGAAACGCGAAATTTGAAGCTGTTTTGCCATCTTGTTCAAACTACGATCGTCTTTTCGCTCGATCCTCCTCTTGATGATCCCACGCATCTTTCGGGTGTTAACGGCCCTCTTTGGTCCTCTTCCGGGCTTGGACTGAACATGCCCCTCATCTTTCCATTGCTTTACGATCTTCTGGACGGTCCTCAGAGCCACCCCAAGCCTCGATGCGATCGACGAGTTCTTCATGCCGCTCGTCGCCAGCTGTGCGATTGCGTCCCGACTAGCGCACGTCTTTGTCATGACCTAGAAAACAACTTTTTTAACAAAAAATTATTAGACCACGATAAAAAGAATATTAAAACACAAAAAGATGAGTAGTAATGCTTTATACATTGTTTAAAACTATGATGCTGATGCTGCGCGCACGTAATTGTCAGCCACCCTGTATTCATATTCATACTTTATTCAGGACATGAAATAAAGCGTAATCAGTCAGACAATACACAAATCTACACATAAATACATAGAGAAAGATGAGATATTTTACTCGGCGATGTGGAGGCGGAGAGAAAAGAAGATAGATAGAAGATAGGCTTCTTGCTTTAATAACCTCAGGCCATGAATGGGCCAACCCAGTGGAAGAGTGAACTCCGCTAGAGAAGGGATCTCTAGTCAGCTCTAGAGAAGAGACCTCTAGTCTGGGCGCACGGGCTAGGGAAGAGAACCCTAGGGGGGCCGAACCCCACACCCTCAGTTTGGAAGTGAGAACTCAACCAATACACCAATGAGGGCTTTTGTACATTTTAGATTAAAAGGAGGAAAATTTTGCAGAAAAATGGTTAAATTTTGCAGAAAAATGGCTAAATTTTGTAGAAGAATAGCTAAATTTTGTAGAAAAATTGCTAAATTTACCAATTTTGATTACAAATTGAATAGAAATGTACAAGGAAAAAGGAGATTTGAAAAGAATTGGAAAAGAATTGGAAAAGGTTTGGAAAAGATTTGGAAAAGAATTGGAAAAGATTTGGAAAAGATTTGGACAAGAATTAGACAAGAATTGGACAAGAATTGGACAAGAATTGGACAAGATTTGAAAAAGATTTGAAAGATTTTAAGTTTATCTAATAGGAAAAAAGAATGAGAGCTCTATTTTTAAGAAAGAAGAGCTCTAAAGAAGAATGAGAGCTCTATTTTAAGAAAGATAGAGCTCTAAAGAAGAGCTGAGAGCTCTATTTTTGCTGTCATTTGCAAGCTTTTTCTTTTCTTATAAATCTTTGTGTTTTTCAGCTAGTTCTAGAAAGATTTGTGCATTTCCAAAAGGTTTTTTAACGTTAAGATGAGAATTTTCTTCAGCTTTAGCTTTAAAATTGAAACAAAACTTCAACAAAACAAAACAAAACTTTGCATAAAGCTTGTTCTCGAGCATACTTTGTGTTCTTGAACACTTGAAACGTTTCTTTTCTAATAGGAGAGTTCTGCAAAGCGAGAAAAAGGCTTTCGGCTGCCTGTATTCTACCCTTTCCCTCAGCGAGGACTATTGTGTTGGTGGCGTAGTGGATAGGCAGTATCAAAGCGGCTTTGATACAAAGCTTTGTATCAAAGCCAGGCAGATGCGCTTCTTTTCTAGTAGCAGAGTATGTAGAGCTATAGAAACAATGAAAAACTGTGTGCCAGAAGGTGTACGGTTTGAGTTTGAAGATGAAAAGGATTGAATAAATCAAAACTAGAGCTTTTTGTTTATTCAAATCAATCCGTTTGTGTAAGTCCAATAGGAGACCCAGTCAGGTCCCAAGCAATTAGGCCCGAGTTTTTCATTACCATTTATTGTTTAATCATTTCATTCAAGAGAATTGTTTAGAAAAAGTTGAAAAACAAGAGAAAAACTCTTCGGTTTTGAAAAAGAAAATGACTAAACTTAAAAAATGGTAATGAAGTTTTGTGGGGTGATTGGTTGAAAGAAGAGAAAGAGTTCAGCTGAATACCTTTAGTTTTGTTGGAGTTGAAAATCCCTGGGGAGGAGGGGAGGAGAAGGACGGGGGGAGGAGGGGAGGAGGGGAAGAGGAGGGGAGGAGCTGGGTAAGGCTCTCCCTGCCAAGCAATTAGGCTCAGGGTTTTTCATTACCCTCTTTCCATCCTAATGGTTTTTTTGAATAGATAAGGCATAACATCTAGCTGCTAGAAATAGTATTTGCATACTCGATTTTCTAAAGAATACTTGATTTCAAATCAAAGCGAGAAAAAGCTTCCAGCTGCGTGTATAAAGACTTTTTTACTGGGGAGACCGGTGTGTTGGTGGCGTAGTGGATAAGTGTCTTGTATCAAAGACCGCTGGTCCGGTTTTTCCTCGGGTTCGATCCCTCTTGGAAACAAGAACTTTTTCTTTTCTATTTTAACACTTTTAGTTTCTTATTTAGTTAGTAGTTTAGTTTACGAGTTAGAAGTTAATTAGTAAGTTAGTTAGTAATTCATAGATATCCATAAAGGGAAGGCTTTTCCATCGCTTTCACTAGTCAGCTTTTCATGGCCTCGATTCAAGTCATTCAACTTCTATGGTACCTAAATCTATTAGGTACCATAGAAGTTGGTACCTAATAGATTTAGGTACCATAGAAGGTATTTAGATACCATAATATCTATCTAAAGTATTTAGGTACCATAATATCTATCTAAATCCAAATTCTGCATGACACTCACATTCTTATACAATGCAAATCCCCGACTTCAATATAGAAATGTTCCATCCGGCTAAAGGGAAGGCTTTTCCCTCAATGTTCAAAGCCCTAGCTTTTCGTGGCAATTGAACAAGTTAAAGTATTTAATTCAAGAAAGAGATATCATACTAAAGTTCCCCTTTATTTATCAAAAAAAAAATTCTATTTCTTCTATATATTGAAAGCCAAAAAGTCCATAACTTGACCACTTTTAGTAGCTTGGTTAGCTGTTGAGAAAGAATCCGTTTGTGTAACTCCAATAGGAGACCCAGTCAGGTCCCAAGCAATTAGGCCCGAGTTTTTCATTACCCCTCAGCCTCTTTACCCCTTCTAGACTCGCTCAACAATATCCAAATTCTTTTTCTCTTGGCTTCATTTATCTTTACATATATGGAAGCTAAAATTTTGAAAGATCTATGAAGAAAATGAAATGAACGAATGAAATGAACGAGGGTCTAGTTCCTTGTCTTCTAAAAAAAGTGATTAGTTCACGGAATGGAGTACCCGAAAAATCCAGGATCTAAAACGGGATAAGGTATCAAAAATTGAACATTAAAACAAATGGATTGTAAGAGTTAATTGAGCAAGAATGGTAAAAAATTAAGTTTAAGCTGTAAAGGAAAGGTTTAAGCTGTAAAGGAAAGTTTAAGTTGTAAAGGAAAGTTTAAGCTGTAAAGGAAAGTTTAAGCTGTAAAGGAAGGTTTAAGGTTTAATGATTAAAGTGTTATTAACATAGATTTGCAAAAAAGGGATTTTCGAGGGTTTTTCTCTATTATTCAGTGATCAAAAGATCTTTATTTTAATTGTTTTTCATCATTGTCTTTCAGAATCCTTTCAGAATTTCAATATTCTTACTGCTTACCTATTGAGTTATGATTCTTACTGCTTACCTATTGCTTACCTATTGCTTACCTACTGCTTACCTACTGCTTACCTACTGCTTACCTATTGCTTACCTATTGCTTACCTACCTATTGCTTACTCTATTGAGTCAAAGCCAAAATGAGCAATTTGTCTAAAAAAAGGTTTAAAATAAGCAGTAAGAATATTGTTTGTTTTGTCGGAAATGCGGGATATCGTCTCTATCTTGCCACATCAGCTAAAGAATGATTTAAAGAGTGTGATAACGCTGAAGCTGAACAAGCGCTTTGCCAACAAGGTGATCATCGATCTTGGATTATGCATTTGTCTCTTCGATTTGATCGAAATTGGGGACACGTATCTGGGAGATGTGCGAGATGGAGATGGAGATGTGCGAGATGGAGATGGGGATGGGCGAGATGGAGATGGAGATGGGCGAGATGGAGATGGGGATGGGCGAGATGGAGATGGGGATGGGCGAGATGGAGATGGGGATGGGCGAGATGGAGATGGAGATGTGCGAGATGGAGATGGAGATGTGCGAGATGGAGATGGAGATGTGCGAGATGGAGATGGGGATGGGCGAGATGGGATGGGGATGGGCGAGATGGAGATGGGTGTGCGAGATGGAGATGGGGTGGGGGGGGGGGGTGGGCGAGATGGAGATGGAGATGTGCGAGATGGAGATGGGGATGGGCGAGATGGAGATGGGGATGGGCGAGATGGAGATGGAGATGTGCGCGGGCACATAAAATGTTTAAAATAGGCAGTAAGAATATTGAAATTTTGAAAGGATTCTGAAAGACAATAATGAAAAACAATTTAAATAAAGATCTTTTGATCTTTTGATCAAATCTGAAAGACAATACTGTGAATGAAACAAAATTTGAATCAGATCTTTTGCTCTTTTGATCTTTCCATCTTTTGATCACTTTTAATAAGTCCATACAATTAATTTAAATTACAATTTAAAAGATATTCAGTCTAAAGTCTTCTTAGCTTTTGCTAAAGAAAGTAAAAGCAACTAAAAATTGTTTTTCGTTAAATAGAACAATTTTTTTTCTTTCGGAAAGCATAACCAACGAGTTTTTCAAATTTTTGAACTTGAAATTGATACCCTGGGGATCAAAAACATTGCAAACAAGAGAAAAAAAAAGACAAGAGATTTCCGGAAACAAAAGGAAAAGCAAAAAATAACCAGGAACTTCAGGAATAGATATTTTATAAAAAAAATTTGAATAGAAGAGTTATAGAAAAACTTATAGACATGTCTCAAACTTATAGACATTTCCTTATAGAAGGAAATGTCTATAAGTTTGCAGTGTTTTTGATTGAAAAGAAAAAGAGTTCTGCAAAATGATTCGAATCAAAGAGCTGACCCTTTTTGATAAAGAGCTTGATATAAATTCAAAAATCTAATGATTCTTTTGGTTGGGATAAGACGGGAAGATTGGTTAGTATTAGATTTCTATGAATTTCTTGCTAACAAACGATCCAGTACCAAATGTAGAAAATTGGCTTGATATAGGCTTAATAAAGGAATATATTAACTCTAGATCTTGTCAGCCAGGATAGGCTAGGCTAAGCTAGGCTAGGCTAGGATAGGCTAGGATAGGCTAAGCTAGGCTAAGCTAGGCTAGGCTAGGCTAGGCTAGGCTAGGCTAGGCTAGGCTAGGCTAGGATAGGCTAGGATAGGCTAGGATAGGCTAGGATAGGCTAGGCTAGGCAAAACCCAAACTCAAGCCAAATCTTCATTCTCAAAAAATCGATGCGTTGAAAGAAGCCGATAAATTCTTTCTTTCCTGCTTTCTTCTTCTCCTTTGTGTTTCCTTTTTTCTCTCTTCAGGTTAACGTACCGGATAGCTGAGTGGTTAGAGGTTAGAGCTCGGGAAGCAGGAGGTCGAGGGTTCAATCCCTCTCCAGAAAACTTTTGCCAATTCTTTAACTTCTTTATTATATAGGCCCTGATTTTTCTCTAATTTGACCTCAAATTGTTTACCAGATTCCTCACGTTTCCAATCACTTTGTAAAAACCGATGGCAGCATTTGTGCTCTTTCTTTAAAATCAAAGATCACTCTTTGGGTAGGTGAGTGCACCAGGAAAAGTGTGTTTACACATTTGAGCACAAAGAGTACAGATAAAAGAATGTTGAGCAGACAAGGCTTGAATGAGATCTTTTTCTAAAGGTAAAACGAATGATTTCCCAATGATTTGCCATTTGCCCAGATGTGTCCCAGTGACAGCCCACAAATAGAGCCAATTCCAAACGCTAGAACCTCATTTTTTTTTCTCCTAAACCTCATAAAGCCGAACTTCCGCCCAATGACTGAGAAGAAATCGATGAGAGAAGAAATCGAGAGCGTTTATTCACTTATGTATTCAGAAAAAATAGAAAATAATGTTAAAGAGAAGAAGAATTTCAAAGATTGAAAGACAAGTCATAAATTGAACTGAATCAAACTAAAGCATAAAATATTGGTAGTTATTCTAATAAAGTTCTTAAAGCTCTCGAAGGAGTTCTCGAGGCATTGTAGCTAGAGCAGGAAGGGAGATTGAGAATCTCTATCTCTATTTCTATTTATGCACAAAGTTTTGAATTTCGCGAAAGTTTAAGAAAATCTTTTTTGTTTGAAATTTTCTTATTTTCTAAACTTCTAAACTAAGCTCATTTAAAAGAAATATTGGTTTTATGGATGAAATGAAAAGAAAGAAAGAGAATGAAAAGAAAGAAAGAAGAAGAGAGAGAAGAAAGAAGAGAGAGAAAGAGAAGGAAGAAAAGAAAGAAAGGAAGGAGAAAAGAAGAAAGAGAATGAAAAGAAAGAAAGAGAATGAAAAGAAAGAAAGAGAATGAAAAGAAAGAAAGAGAATAAAAAGAAAAAGAAATGCTTGAGCATCGTTTGAGTGGAGAAAAAAGTGTCCTTAAGAGTTTTTTGTTTTGTTTTCAAATGTTAAAATAAAAACAAATGATTGGAAATGTGTGTGTGTTTTGAGAAAAGAAATAGAGATAAAATTAGCGGTAAGCTTACGATAGTTTCCGAAAGTTGATGCATTTTTGGCAAAAGAGAATAATTGGCAAAGGCATAAGCACTGTGAAAGTACCGTAATCATTTGGTGGCTTTACTGTGGCTTCAATGTGCCTAATTTGTTGTTAGATTACTGTTAGATTAAGTAGACTGTAGCTAAGTTAATGTAAGGATTCTAAAGATTGAAAAAAGGTGGTGCTTTTCTAATGATAAAGAGAAGGAATTGGCAAAAAGTAGATTTCCGGCGAGGGGATTGAACCCTTGACCTTTTCCTTTCCAGGCAATCATTGCTCTAACCACTGAGCTATCTAGTACCTTAATTTGCCAAGAGAAAGAAGGAAAGACAAGGGGAAGAAGAAAGAAAGAAAGAAAGAAAGAAAGGAAGAAGGAAGTTGAAGAAAAGCCTTCAATTCTTTCATTCAATAGATGATCTTTGACATCTTTGTTCAAAGGTATTAGGTTTCCTACTTTCAGAAATGATTCAAAGAAAAAAGAGTGAGAAAAAAGAAAGAAATATACATGGCTTTTTTCTTTCTTTTTCTTCAAAAATGAGCGCTTCCATGCATGGAGAAAAACCAGAAGGCGTTTTGAAAGGTTTTTTTTTGCTTTTTTTTGCTTTTTTTGCTTTTTTCCGAGTGTTCGTTTTGAAAGTTTCACTATAAAAAAGGAAATATTCAAAGATTCAATCAAAAATTTGCATATCATACTTTAAAGAGGGGTTAAACGGGGGTGACTACTTTGCGTCTAATTTTTTTGCGCAACTGGGTCATTTGGTGGGTCAACTGGACCGCGCAATTGGACCTTTTGCGCAACTCGCCATAACTTTCTTCTAAGTGGACCAATCTTTATGATTTTGATTTCATTTTGTTGCACTTATTGAGATCTACAAAAGGAGACCAAAATCATAAAGATTGGAAGACTTAGAAGAAAGTTATGGCGAGTTGTGCAAACGAGTTGTGCAAACGACCCAGTTGCGCAAATGACCCAGTTGCGCAACACTTAAACAAAACTTGTTCAAGAAACTTTAAAGATAACCTTTTCAATATTCATACTCATCTTTTGAAGCTGAAAAATTCGAAATCAAGAAGTTTAACTAGGTCGTTTGCACAACTCGCCATAACTTCTCTCTAAGTCGATCAATCAAGATCAAGTCGATCAATAGTTGCGCAAAAGATCTAGTTTTGGCCCAGTTGCGCCAAAAACTTTGTCACAAAGTAGCCAAAATGGTTAAAACTTCTTGATTTCGAATTTTTGAACTTCAAAAGATGAGTATGATATTGAAAAGGTTATCTTTAAAGTTTCTTGAACAAGTTTTGTTTAAGTTTTTCGATTGGATAGAAAAGATTAATGAAAATGATTAATTTTTCATTGCTGGATCATGTTTTCTTTTAATGTTTTCATGTGGATCATGTTTTCTTTTCAGATTAAACGCTTAGGTAAGATTTTGGGATATTAGAGCTTTTTTTTTTTTGTTTGATTAGTAACCGGTGAATAAAATTTACTAACTATAGAGTTTAGTTTTAGGGATATTTGTTCTGAAACTTGTCGGCTATACCCCAAAAACATTTGGATATCATATAAACAAGTTAAATTAGCATAATTCTTTGTACTTCAAGGGTTAAAGCATGTTCAAAGAATAGTGTTGTTGATGAGATGGAAAATCATCTAATTCTTGCGTTCTTGAACTTGCATAGTCAATAGCATCGCACGGGAAGATCTTTGGAACAAATCTTGACCTTGAACAGTATATTAGAGACCTAGAGATTAGTGAAGACGCAGAAGTATGATAAAAAACACTTTTCTAAGGTCGATTTTTGATGGAGAATCCGAATTTCGACTTAAAATTAGGGGTTTCCTGGGAAAAAATACGACTTTTCACCAAATCTCATAAATTTATAGGGGTCATTCACTGAAATCGTCTATAACTCGGGACTTGGACTCATCTAGACTTACAAAAAACATAGCTAAAGTTGAAGTACGTAAAACAGTCGTTTAATGCTGATTTAGTTGATCAATAAGCCTTGTGAGGGTACCTTTGTTCTTCCTTTCTTCTTCCTTTCTTCTTCCCCTTGTCTTTCCATCTTTCTCTTGGTTCTAGCCGATAGTTCTAAGTTCTAAAGTTCTAACCGATAAGTACCTTTGTTCTAGAAGTGCTCTAACATAGCCAAAATGAGAACTGGTTGAAAACTGGTTAAAAACTGGTTAAAAACTGGTTAAAAACTAGATTACGTTGCTTTGGATTTGAATTCATTGAACTTTCAAAGCGAACACTGACATCACAATGAAATTAAGATCAATAAAAGAATAAAACTCATGAAAACTTTGAAGAATTTCTTCAAAAATCATCTCTCAAATGTTCGAGTTTCAATTTCCAAAAGTTCAGCCAAAAAGAAATGGAAAAACTTTAACGAAAAAAGAACGCTTCAAGGTTTTCTTAGGGCAAATGAGACGGGAAAGCGTTCATTTTCTTTCATTTTTTTTTCGAAACTTCCATTTGAGAACTTTAGTGGCTAAAAATGGAAAAATTGGGGAGATTTTGAAAATGAATATTTGAGAGAATTTTTGGAAGTAGTGAGCAAAAAATGCTTCTGATATGGCCCAGAAAAAACTTTGAGTGAGATTTCAATAAAAGCTCAATAAGCGCTCAATGAAAGCTCAATAAGCGCTCAATAAAAGCTCAATAAGCGCTCAATAAGCGCTCAAGAAGCGCCCAATAAGCGCTCAACAAGCGTTCAATAA